ACTTGGTTTTAAAATCTGCCCCCCCTAAGGTTTAATAAACATCGACAAACATGTTTAAAACATCAAATGACGTTTGTACATGTGATCGGGCGAAGCCACGATTTTCTGAGTGCAATAAACATTATAAACAAACATGTTTATTGTTTCAAACATGTTTAAAACATGTTTAAACCCAAAAAACATGTTTTAACCATGTTTTTCGTGTTTTTCCGTGTTTTAACCATGTTTATAACCATGTAGGGACCCACACTTTTCTGGCGGTCCCAGCCGATCACCTGTACGTTTAAAACATGAGTTGCCTACCCGGGACGCCTCACAGCTGTTTTGCCCCAGCAAAACATCGTCCTTCAACTCTTGCGAAGCGCCCATTGATGCAGCATCAATTGTTGACCATTGTTTTCGTGCTCGCTTCCTTTTTTTCGTTCTAGCAATGCAACAAATGACGGTCCCAACCACTGGCCTGCTTGATGGTCCAGGTTTTGAGCAAGCAACCCGCAGTCTCTTGGATGATAACGCAGAGCTGCATTCTTTGGTCAAGATAGCGGTGGTGGGGCGGGAAAAGGCAGGCAAGAGCGCGCTTATACGCACACTGTGTGGACTGGAACCTCTGCAGAACTATGTAGAGACAGCAGGAATCGAAGTGCAGCAGCTTCTGAGAGGAGCTAGCAGGGAGGACACTTCCGCTGGGGCGCAGTCGCAGGTAAGTTGCGTGATGCTCCGTAAGCTCCATGTATTGCCTCTCGAACTAATTATGGACATGCTAAGCCTACACTTGCAGCACTGACCTTCTTTTACTGCCTGGGTGCTCTCCGATAATGGAGAATGCAATTGCGCATTGCTTTGATGAGGCAAGGAGGGGCAATGGCAACTGTATCAGAAGGGTTGGAATCGAAACGAAGCTATATGACTTTCTTCAGTGGGAGAGGCTTTAACGCTTGTGCATGATTTATCAGCAGGGAAGACCGCGACAATCTGCCCCTGGGGCTGCTAGATTGATGACAAAAAGGAAAGACTGCTGCGACCATGCGCAATCAAGATTGATGCAGGACGCTCCTTACCAATTGCCCCTCTCGACCCATCTTTATGTCTCATCACCTTTTTGACCACTGTGGTAAAAAGGGCTCTTTGTTGGATGAAGCAGCGCAAGGACCAGAAAGCGTGACAACCATTTGCACCACTCCACATCATCTCTTACTTTTTTCATTCACTTGTTGAACTTGTTGCATCGGACTATTCACCCTGCTATCTGTGTCAACCAGACATGGCGTAACTCTCCTAGCTCCTCAAAACAGAGAGACAACAAAAACTTTTTGACCACTCTGAGTGCAAGCCCCTGCTCCGAACTTGACCCGGAGAGTGCCGCAGTACCGAAGTTCCAAAGTGCCACAGGCTTCGTTTAGGAATGTACACATTGCTTCTGTATTTGAGATTCTCGATTTCAGCATCCAACAACCACTACCTTCACACGACTTCAAACCTTAGAAACTCACAACAAAACCAGTGCCTTACACTCTTGTTCACTGTTCCCAGGGCGATGAAATGTCTGCTCCTTCGACCAGCTTCCAGTTCTGGGAGGCCGCCGGACGTCCTTCCGCACGCTTTGAGTACCTCCTCCCGTCCGCCGCAAGCAAGGCGCGTCTCGCCCTCCACGTGCTCTCCTTGCAGGACCGCGCCGGGTTTGACGCGCTGCCCCAGCAGATTGATGACGTTGGTACGCACGTGCCTTGCCTCGTGATCGCAACTAGGTATGTCTATGTCTGCTCCTTCAAGGCCGTGGTGAGAGTGAAACGACTTCACCTTGTCGAGACTGCTTTCAGGTGTCATGGAAGGCGTGTTCTTGAAGGCGTGTTCTTTACAATGGTAACTATGACAAGGCGAGTGTCCTACGAGTGATGTGTCTGGCCAAATCCGGATTCCAACAATAACGAAGTGTCAAATCTAGCTCGAAGTGACAAAGAAACTTCAACCAAGTTCGGAAACGGATCGGCTTTCTTCACGAGATTTGCTTCTCCAACTCAGTCGGATGTCAGTGACCACATCGAGCGTTTGAGAGTGATCGAACTTGCGAAGACAAGGGAACAGGCCAGTACCAACTTACCTTCCCATCAGCGAGTTCGTGCCAACTTCGAAAAGCTGCAGTAAACCAGTGCCGTGAGAGTCACTTTCTTTCGTAAGAATGAAGCGCTTCGTTCAGAAATCAGCACAATATGGCGTTTTCTTCGGGGTGCTTTAGAGTCATTTCCTAGTTGCTCTGACGGAAACAATGAAAGACCCGCTCTACGGGGCTGTGTATTGGCCTCGAAGATGGAAAAGTAGTTACCAAGGTGAGAACTGCGTAGGAATTGCGACTGCTTTGGTGTGGCGTCATTAGAGCCCTTCTGACCGTTCGCTTAGAAGTTGCCTGAAAAGCATAAGTACTTACTTTTGGAGTCTCGAATGGAGCTTGGGAAAGTCAAAGGCTACGACGTTAGGACAAAACACTTGACACGTGGATCTCCCAGGCGCAGTAGATGCGAGGCAATCCATGCGCGCAAACTTCCTCCTCTTCTTTCGTCCCTGCTATTCCCTGGCTGCTCTCTTGCTGTATGCCAAGATCACAGCCCCAAGACGAACCCTTCGACCTACAAAAAGATCTATCCGCATCAGCATAACGAACTCCTTCCCGTTTGATATCCAAATAGTTTTTCATATTTGACGAAGGCGCTTTGGCGCTCACTTTCTGTGCAGGCACGATCTTGTGTACCAAACCGCCATCCCAGACGATGAGCTTCGAGCTTTCTGCGCACGGCACCGGTTACGCCTGTGTTTGATAGGGAACCCCCAGGACCAAACGGACGAAGCGCAGCAGCGTCGGACAATAGTGAGCATCCCAATCGCCCTTTCTCGAGACTGGACTTTCTCGCAAAATCAAAAGTAGGCTGTTGGAGATCGATCTGCAAAGTCGGTCGAGAAACGATTGGATTTTTGAGAAGGGGCCCAGCGTTCGTAGCAGCATGTGGGATTGACCGTATTCGTGATTGTTACTTGAAGTCTCGCAGGCTGTACGTCCTTTGAAGCACTTCGAAAGTAATTCATCCGCAAACGTCTTTTACGGACGACTTATGGATCCCCAGTTCTTCGGCAGCTTCAAAATCCAGGAACTAAAATCCGATGGTCTGAACTTGCTGGTTTGGCAAATTATCTTTTCAGGCACTGACGATTTGGAAGATAGCCTCAATTGTCAACGTTTGTCGCGGTTGAAACGAGAATGTAAAAGAAGCAAAATTTTCAAGGGCCATAACCAAGGCTTGCCGATGCGACCAGCGACTTGGTGCAAGAGACTTTTTTAAAATGCGCAACGCGGAGCTCGTGACTTTCATTCGACGGCCAGTGGCATGGGAGTAACCGGTGTCGTGTAAATCAAAGCTTTTTTAGCATCGTGGGCAAATAGCAATCAGCCTCGAAGCCGTTAACGAGCCCCTTCCTTCCGCCAAGTCAAGTGATTCACTGCGCTTCTCTGTGCAGGTCCGAAAGTACATTTTGGCCGAGATTGAAAAGCTTCTGTAGGTTGGCGCGAAATCGAAATGTATCCAGAATCTAGCTTGACCATGGAAAGACTCCGTAGTGCAGGCTTCAATGCTCCTCGCACCATAACTGCTCCTAGGTTGCCGTCGAGAAGGTCTTTTCCGAAGTATCTGAGTATGAGTGTCTCGCTTCAATCCTTGGTTCCCACTTCTTATTGGTTGAATTTTATCGAGTGCCTATGTCTGCATGGTTAAGCCTTCGTTTTAGTTGGACAAGTTCTGCTCCGCTTAAGGTGGACGATTTGCAAAGTAGTCATCGCGCAGTGGACGCCGGAAAATGACAGAATCGATGCGCCAGGCCCCCGCCAGGGGGCCGCCAGGCATTCACAAATTGCGGCGGTCTACTCTAATGGCCTACCCGTTGTGACAATGACGATGAATCCGTAGAAGGCATCAATCCAATGGACTCAGAAATACTACAGCAACAATTCGAGCAAAACCTGCTTCTGGTACACTGGTGGCGGCCCCTCTGGTGCTCTGGTTGCATCTCGAAGCGGGCTCACGTTAGTGACGGGGCAACGTACATTGTTACGTTACTGACGCTCTGTTGCCAATGCAATTGCTTCTCTTGTCCGACCGACGCGCAGCAGTCACACGGCTATTCCGATCGTCGGCACTGCTGCCAGCAGGTGGTGCACTTAATTGGGCCTTGGCGCTGGCCGCGGCCCGCCCGGGCCGGGCCCGGGCCAGGCTTACAGTGTACGCGGCCGCGGCTGTAGTGCGACGGTACTGTACCATACCGGTACTTACATACCTAGGTACCAAGATGACGTCCGCGGACTGCAGTCTGCGCCCCGTATCTTGAGACTTGATCTCGGACCCCAAATTTAAATGCGACAAAGTGGATCCCGCCGACGAGTGATTAACGCCGTCCGATGGGGACCGAGTTTTGTCGTTTGCCGCAAATGTCGATATGCTAATTGCTGTTTAACGATTGACCAGTGGCTACCGGGGCCGGACTTACCCCGGTCTGATCCCCCTAGATGTCTTTGGGATCTTCAACAGGGGAATATCTTGCCCGGAAAAATGCCCCGATTACGTCCAACTTTCTGAAGTGCCCGGGGGACGATTGTCGACCAATCATACGTCGTCTGATTCGTTCGCAGTCTTGTTTGCTCACTCAGACTGCAGACTGCACTTTTCAGAACCTCTGACACTGTGCGCACGCCTGATCTGATTCGCGAGCGCCAGATTCCAAACGCGACGTCCCTTCGTCCTCCTTTTCCCGCATTCTGGCAGCCATTCCCAGCCCCCAGTTCCAGCCCAGAGTGTGAAACCTGACAACAGCAAATGCCCTAAAAGCTTGTCTCAGATCTGCGTCAGAAGCGCCCAAAGCCTCCTGCTTGTGTTTGACGCCCTAGCTGCCTAGATATACAGCTGCTGTTACACCGCTACTGCACGCGCTAACAAGCTCCAACACAACGTACATCCACTCTTTGGGCTTGAACTGGCATCGCACGCTTGACTTGCAGTCCATATGCGCTGAAATTTGCAGAAAACAAGCGTCCGTTCCTTGTCAAAGTGCTTAGATTTTTAAATTAGTTGCAAGTATCTTCTGACAGTTTCTAGTTGGATAAGGCATGGCTGGGATGAGGGTCTCTTTTGCTCTTGGACTGCTAGTTGTGCTTTGCTGCGCCTCAAGTAAAGCGGTGGCAGATCAAACAAAAGGACCTGGAGTCATTTTCACAAAGGCGGGGATTGTTTGCGGCCCAGGTGAGCTCAGATCCGCTGATGCAAACTTCAATGAGCGGAGTTACTGAGATCTGTTAAGGGAGCTGGGATCTTCCTTAGAAATGTGCCACTGTTGCCGGGCTTTTCGCTTTTCCTATGTTCTTGCTAGGGCCCTGAGCTTCTCTTGATTCAGTTGGTTTTTGTGAGCTCCCTGAACCTTGAACGGTCTGTTCAGTCCATGAGCCCCTCTTCAATTCGCAATTTTCGCTACGACCACTCTGTTTCAAAGGCTTCTCGCTTTCATCGGTCAGCTTCTGTGAAAAGAGTCTGCAAATGTGGTGATTCAGGCCATGAGCAATAAGTAAACCTGAAGCGGATCCTGCGTCTTGCTTTCCATACTTTTCATCAGTAGGGCACATGTTATAGATTGGTGCTGGGCAACTTGACAGGCGGCAACAGCACTCTTCAACCTAGTTCCTCCATCAAATTTGTTTTTCTCGCATCTTTAACATAAGACGCTGACACAGATAGTTGATTAGCTCTCTGATCCTGGTTGCCCTGGTGACCATACATATAGTCCTATTGACGCACATTGCTTTCTGCCTGCCTTCACTGACAGACACCACTCTCTGCCTGCAGCTCTTCTTTGCGTAAACGAGGCGGAGTGCGATGTCGTCCCTTCAGGGCCCATCAACATTTACGCCTGCAGATGCCAAGACGGGTGGACAGGAACCAACTGCACTGTGCCAGCACCAAAAGGCTTGAGTGAGTTGCCCTTTCTTCGAAAATGCGAAGATAACGGTGGTGCCTTCTTCTCCATGTTGATTCCCATGTGTTTGCAATGTTGGAAGCCAACTTTTGTAAAGACTGATCGTGCCAGATGTTGCTTTTCTCTCATATTTGATAACCACTCTGTTTGGAAGCACGCCACGATTTAAGTAGAGCCACATATGATGGCAAAGACAAGAAAAGCATCTTCACAGGCTTGAGTGAAAGTGATAGGTTTCGATCAGATCCAGGAACCTCTCTCAATTTGAGCACTTTGCCCGGCACTTTTGGCACGAGAAAAAAAGGGAAGGGCAGAGCGCTCACAAAATGAAAGCAAGGGCAGGAAGGGAAGGAGGTTGAATTAGGGTTTCCTGCATTACCACAGCAGGGCAGACCGGCACTGAAGCGGGCATAGCCAATCACAAGCTCTCTCTTTTGTATTTTCGCAAGTTAGATCAACTAGCAATGCGGCTCGCATCTGCGTTGCTTGGATAGCTTGAGCGCTCTTTACATACTCAGAAGTGATAATCTGCAACCACCCAAAACACTGAACGCCACTAAATTAATGCTTATCAATGCCCCATCAGCCCCCCATCAAAAGGAGGCTCTTAAAGTCACGAGTTCTGTGCAGATTGTCTTACCCATTGATACACTCCTTTGCCCCATGTGGACCTATTGCCTCCTACTCCTTCTTTGTGTGGTCTTACTCTGTTGACTTTCAGCTCCGGCTGAAATTAGCCGCCCCCTGTCGCTCAAAAGGGTCACTTGTGTTTTCGTCTGGCTTTGTACTTAAGACTGTCTGCTCAGAAGCTGGCACTCCAAAGAGTTGTGGTTCAATCAAAGAGCGATCGACAACCATGCCCAATTGACTTTTAGCAGTTCGATGCGGTACACAGGCTCTGATCGGTTTGGATTTAATTGTCAAATTGCGGCCAGGGCCGCTAACGTGCATATGCGCTGTTCGTAGCTCTAGCTAGTTGTCCTGGCAAGACAATCAGGGTGTACTCCGAGGCAGTGACCCTGTTGCTCCTTCACTATTCTTTGGACGCCCTTCTGAAAAGGGGCAGTTTCTTTGAGTCATGTTGGGACTGCACCTTACTTATCGGCTGCCTTGCTGTTGGAGAGATGGCACTGTGGATGGATGTACAGTGCAGATGTGTCGTCTTAACTGGTTTGAAAGGGCGGCCCTGATCGTTCCAATCGAATGTGCACCGGTGGTACTCCTGGATACAAGAGAGCGTCGCCACAAGTGACTTGCGGCAAGTTTGATATACTGATTTGAGGTCTGGAGTTGCAGCGACTCTGGTTGCAACAATTGTGGCCCCGTGTGGGCTCTATAACCAACGCGGGAGATTGTTTTAAGCACGCATTGCCAGTTTGGATCCGTCTCCTGTTGCAGCCTCCAAGTACACAAAACAGCTTCCAATTTCATGAGCCTGGAGTTGCCGCTTTCCAGGCACTTGCCAAAAAAGCTGAACGAAGGATTGCACTTCAGTCACTCCTCATACTAGATTCACTGAACTTGCCAACTTGCCAAGGTGCCAAGTTTCTTGACCCCGTCAACAGAAAATAAGGGGGCTGACATTCGACGGGTATGCGGTGACGACGTCATTAACGCTGTGTTCTGCCTCTCCTCTGCAGACCTGCCCAATCAGATTGGAGCACCGGTTGCGGCCGGCACCCTGCGGTACCGGTTGTTTGGACCTGACGGCCCTAATGTGAGATGACTACTCGATGTTTCCGTAACAAATCGGCTACAATTAACATTTTAATCCGCTATGGTGCAAAGTCGATACAGTATTGCAAACAGGTGCTGGCCCTCTCAGTCTAGGGTGCATTCTATGAGTTGCCAGTTGCTGGGTAGATGAGTGCCCCCCTGACGTATCAGCTAGGGAGTACCGTTTCTGAACTTTGAGACTCAGAAGCTGAAGAGCATATGATATATAATCTCCGCTAAGGAGGCTTCCGCATGTCAGAAAAAAGCAACACGGCTGCAGTGACTCTAGAGGACATCTACCTAAGTCACTGGCCCCTTAGAAGGAAATTTCCAGCTATGTTCACTTCTGCGTGTGCCTTCTAGAAAGGCAGTTGCTTTCTGGAAGGGCGAGTTTGCGCGTTAAGTGAAGTTCCGGGTTTGCGTCTTCAATAAAGGGCGAGTTTGCGTATTGTAGGGCGGGTTTGAGTTCGCGTGTTGGCCAAAAAGGAGACACTGGGAACACATTGCCAAATGTTCACAACAAGGCAGAAGAAGCACGTCTAGGATTGCTGAAGCACCGTTCATTCCCCTTGGTCTGCGAGTTCAAACGGGTCGACTGATTACACGTGGCCGGCTTTATTCGGTGACGAGCAGCACCAACATAATGATCCCAGCCAGGTTTTTGTCATTGCCCCACGACTGATCTTTTGACACCATCGCTTTGACAGGTGCTTGCAATTGTTCTGGGCACAGTCGCCGGTGTCATCTTCCTTATCATCGTCGGCGGCCTGGGTTGCTTCTTCTACCGCCGGTACAAGGTCAACCGGGGCCCCCTCAAATTCGTCGAGTTTAAGCGCACCGACTCGATTGTGGCGGAACTTGCGCGGGCGCAAAGCATGGACAGGAAGGATACCTTCCCTCAAGCGAACCAAGTCTAGTACCGCATTCTTTTTTACAATTAATGTCGAGACGTATTATACGGACATGAAAGAGGAGTCGTCCACGGGTTCGGGTGTTTCTAGACGTGTTGCTTTTTATGTTGGCGGGCCCCAACGTTACGGAAGTAGTGGCGTGGGCGTTGCGAAACACCCTTGCGTTGTTTAGTACTGGAGACATTAAGGGGCGCTAAAAGTATGGCATTGCCTCGATTGTAGCCTCGATACGTGCTGCTTGCAGCTTGCCACTTGGGTAGTTGCAAGCGACTACGGTATCATTTATTCGCACGGTTTGCTGAAGGTTTGGTCGAACAGCCAGTCGTAGAACCATTGTAGCTCTGCATGCTCGTCAGTAGTCTAAGCTGAGCAGCCTGCCATACGTAGATCAGTGCTTGCAGAGGCAACTGTAACATTATCATCACTTCTTCTATGAGTATTTTAACACTGAGAGCTGATTGGCTTTGAACCATTTCTAAAGGCTCAATTGCCATCTGTTGGGCGAATTCAACAGCAGTTTTCACGCGCTCTAGACCGAACCTAGTACTCCATAAATCTGGTTGGATGAAATGGACATGTCCAATCTTGTCCAAGCTGAGCACGATTCTATGCATGCCAGCCAGGCCGTTAGTCCTTGTCGCTCAGTGTGGCTGCTCAATATGTTCTTAGTGATAGTAACCGTCTTAAGTTCTGTCAGAGAGCTAGTACTTGCTACCAACAAATGATTGATAGTAAGTTCGGTATGCGAGATTCCAGCAGCCGCAGCAAGCGCGCACACGCAGATGCATGCGCGGCCAGACTAATGATGCACAGTGCTCTGCATACATGCAGTTGCTGTTCAATAGGGGACCGGGTCACTTTGAAGTGGCACCCCCTTAGATATTCTGTTGAGCTAGGGGGGGGGGGGATTGAGGCCTTTCGCTTGGGGCGAAGCCCCTACGTCGGATTCCAGCTTGGAAAACATGCCTTTTTATGCCAATTTATCATCTTTTAGCCCACGGGTTAGAGATTCCAGACCATGAATGAACCAAAAAAGCATTTTTCAATGTTTAAAAGGGGCGAATCTTTGCATACGACAGTCTGCATGCCCCGGGCCGGGTGGTCGCTATCTGGACCGTGGCCTTGACCTTTTCTTAAAAGACAGGGCCTGGAAGGGGGGGGGGCTTGAGACCTTCTGCAGTTGAGCCCGGCAAAGTGCCTTTGAAATACCTAACCGGCCCGGTTAGGTATATGTGGCACCCGGCGGCCGGGTGCCACTTCAAAGTGACGGTGCCCTTCGTAGGCCCACAGGCGGCCGCCATCATGGGCATGTATACCGTTGAACAGTCAGTGTGCTGCACTGAATTACGAGTATCGGATTTAACGCGGCGGCTAGGCACTGTGCATGCCACAGTCAATCACATATGCACGCGCGTGTGCGTGCTATAGGTAGAACGGTGCAGCATATACTATGATACGCCATTATTGCAATGCATCATGTGAGATCTGTGATCCACCGTGACCTGTATGCTCGATCCGACATAGAGGCAGCACGTACTACACATGGTTCGCAAGCGCACCGGCAGTGGGGCGCCCCACTGCTGAATGGCCACTGCAGCCCAGCTAGCTATATGATATCTGGCACATGCATGCATTGCAGCAGGTCTCTGATTGAACATGCCAGCCATCAAATCAGCTCACGGCGACAGATGCATGACAGCGTGGTACCCCCATATCATTCTCAGTGAAGTCGGACCCCGTATATCGAGGTCATACTCAAGCGCTGTAGCCTTTTGAGGGTAGAGTCTAAGTAGCAGGAGGCCTCCTGGATCTAGGCGGCAGGGAGGGGGCTTGCATCAGTGGATTTCATACGTTCATAACAATGCAAGATTGATGGGCCAACACTTTCAACTCGACCGTTTGAGGTTCAATGTAATTCTTGCATGACAAACATGCACAATGGACTACCAAGAGGTTCTTCTCTGTCTTCCAAAATTTTTATTTAGTAGACAAACATCTGAAGAAGAAATCTTCATGTTGCAATATAGACGTTAAACTTGTATACAAATTCCTACTACCATCCGGCACAGGAGGGTGATATCACATGGCCATGATTGGGACCGGTGCGAACGATCAAAACCTTCAAATATCCTTTTATATTCATGTATCTGCTTCTCTGCTTCTCTGACCTGCTACTTCTGAGACCCACATAAAGGAAGAATGCTACAGACTATGTCAGACGGACACCTTTTTGAACAGATGGTTTCATGCAAGGACAGGTCGTGGGGGCCGCGCCGGCGGCGTCTCCATGACGCCTGCCAAGGCGTCGTGATACTTATGAACCTGTACGCATTTACCAGGCAGAATCTGTGAGTTCGGGTTTAAACGCTCGGCTTCAGTATCGCCTGTGTCTGCTTGATTCATTCGTGAATTGCTGAAGATTGAGCGACATCCATTCCAAACCTGATTGCCAGCCAATGACGATTCCGCGAAAGTAGAAGAGACAAGGTGTTTCAAGCCTAGTAGGGGACTGGGAACCGCATTCTTGGTAAGGAGCACTCTGAAGGGCCCTCAGCGATCCAAAAAGACTGGACAGGTTGCCAGCCATCTCCACCTTAATATTTCGGGGGAGTTGTCGGATTCAAGCGCTTCTGACGTTGGCTTCAATCCTTTTACCTCGTCGAACGGGCCATGATGAACCGAGCCGGCTAATGGAGCGCAGATTTCAACCGATGTCCGATTAACTGCACCGTTTGGTAGCCGAAGGTTGACGGAACTTGGACCGTTCCTAAGAGAAGCGTAATCCTGACCTGTCCTTGAAGCGAGTCGTACTTGGCGGTCAGCAGAGCAATCTCCTGTTCGTGCGCGCTTCTGACGTCCGCAATCTTGGCCTGTACCTCGCGCGTCTGGAAGCAAGAAAAGAGGCTTGCTCATATCACTTGCTTGAAGGGATCAGGTCAAGTACTCATCTGTAGCGAGTTAGCATGATTATATATCTCGATATCGCCCTCTCATCCGCGGTAGCCAAAAAAGAGGCAGACAGGCTTGTGAAGCATTGCGTTTCGATCAGAAAGGCGCAAGAAGGGCACGCTTCCACAACCTCAAGCGAACGTTACTCTTGGAACAGAACACCAGACGCGTCATATGGCCGCAGTCTAGTCGACGTGACATCTTTTACAGATGACCGAATTGGAAAGCGACGCTTCTAATCAAGGCTCGGCACCGTGGCTATTAAAGTAACCAGCCATAACCTCGTTTGGAGCGTTTGCTAAAAAGATGGTAGTGACATCGAGGCAACATCTCTGTGTGCAGTCGCACGAAGACCGATTTCGTCCCAAGTGCGTCAGTGATTGAAACATCTTTTCAATCCTAGCCTGCTCTCGAAGGAGAAAAGACGAAGTCCACGCAACGCTTCATGTGCGCCCCAACTGGCTTGATTCTTTTTGACGAACATCGTGGTTTGAACTGCAAACGTGGCCGTTACCTTTTCACCAACCCGCATGTGCCCGGGAAGCACGACCTTCCCACGGACGACGCCTTACTTTTCACTGGCCACTATACCTGTGCCGGCCGACTCTTCTTACGAAGCTGCTGCCAGAACATGCTTGCGAGATTGAAAGACCTTATCTGCCGAAGAGTCACGAACGGTACAAAGCCCCAGAGGAACCGTGTGCCCCCTCATCTGTGCCTGGAACAGCGCTCGAATGAGTACTGTTAAGAAAGTTCGCCAAAAGAAAGTTCCGGATCCCGGACTTCGCAGATGCTCAAAAGCCACGGACAACTGTCCCGAACAAACTCTGGTTCGCCGCCTCACCTGCGTCTGCCGCTCCGTGAGTTTGGCCATCGTCTCCTTGTGTTCCGCTTCCGCTTCCGCTTTAAGAGCACGTGCCTCCTCCAGAGCAGCCACCGCCGCCTCCCGCTTTAGCGCGCCCTGCTGCTCCAGCCGCTGGAGCCGCTCCATTGCGCTCTGGTCTGCACCTCTCAAAAAAACGGGTTAGAGTCAGGTTAAGGTCAGGTTCAAAATCTAAGCAGGGTTGGGGTCAGGTCACCGTTGCTTTGCGCTTCCCAGCGCGCCCTGCTGCTCCAGCCGCTGGAGCCGTTCCACTGCGGTCTGGTCTGCACCGCTCCGACAAAACGGGTTAGGGTCAGGTTCGGGTTGTTTTCTGGTGTTGGTTGAGTTTTGGTTGTGATTGAAGTGGGAAAGAGACTAGGGCCATCGCCACTTCAGCGCGCCCTGCTGCTCCAGCCGCTGAATGCCCTCTACCATGCTCTGGTCAGCACCGCTCAGAGGAGGAGTCAGGTTCAGATTGGGTTACGTGGAAAGTGGGACGGCTAAAGCATTGTACTCTGAAGAGGAGCTTTGCTACGCTAGATTAGGTTGAAGTTATAGCACATCCCTTTGGAAGTCAAGGGTGGTACAGACCATCTCTACGATATGGTCACGACTGAAGTACATCAATCGGTTATTAGTCACGAGCAAATCGCCAGCCGACTGCTCACCAATTCCAACCAATGAGACTAGATACTAGAGCGCCCATCGGATGCGGTGCTTCTTGATAATAAACGGGAGAGTGCAAGCAACCGGATATTTCTGGTCTGGTTCCTAATGCAATCCACGACGGCCGCCAGAGCGCAGAAGGAAGGCTTCGCGATACGAAGGTGCAGAAACCACAAGTGGGAGTAAGCTGTTTCGGGTTGAGTTCGTTAGTCTGCCACTCACGTTGCCGTTGCAGGTGCTGCAGCACCCGGTCGAGCTCCCAGGCGGTGTCCTCATTCGCTTTGATCTTGGCCTTGGCGGCCTTGGCATCCCGCGACACGGTCTTGTACTTTGCGATCTGCGCCCAAGATCAATTTACAAGTACTTGGTCTAGCAGGTCTTAAGTCGAGTAGACGGGACTCGATTGGCGGAAGCCAACAGGAGGAGGCAGACGCGCTAAACTTATGCGTTGACGAATGGTGGATAAAGCCAGGAGTGCCTTTCGGACAACTTACTTCAATCGGAGTCTCCTGAGTACATTTTAGCTATGGGAGGCAGAAAAGCAGGAGCTGAAGACCCAGCGTCAGCGTGTGCCAACATCCTGGCGAAGTTGCAACAATTCTCGCTTCTGACTGAAGGATGCTTACAAGCTGGATGCAGCCTTCCTTTTCGGCTTCATCAATTGTTGGCAGACGACAACTTATCCAGGTTGAGAACGCTCCCCGTTAGTCCCAGCTATCTGCGTTCCTCTTTCGCCTTTGGAATTCGGCTTCGAGGATCCATCCTGCCGCTTTAGCAAGTGTTTCGAGTTGATACAGTGATAATTCTCGTCTCTCCTCGGTCTCCAATAGCTTGACCCTTTTCGCTCACCTTTCCGCTTGTTAACAAAAAAGACCTCTGTCGAACTTTTGAAACGACTCAGCGCCAGAAATTTATCAACTGCCGGACCCGAGTCCTGTGGATTGACTCGAACCAGAACTGAAACGACTTGAAGGGAAATACTTAACAACTGCCGGATCCACATCCTCTGAATCGACTCGAAGCCAGAAACTATTCAACCGCAGAATCCAAGTCCTACTCAGATGATCTGAAGATGGTCTCTTTTCGTTCTCGCCGGAGCCAAATAGGCCATAGGCTTCTCATAGCATACATGTACAAACTGTATTTTTCATTGAAAATTGAAAATCGTACCTCCGCCTCCGCCTCTTCCATAAGCTTGACCGTCTTCATCACCTCCCGCTCCACCTTGCCACAGCACTCCAGCTTGGCCTGTAAGTCTCGCGCCCGCCGCTCCGCCTCCCCGATCGCGGCCCGCTCCCGCTCGACCGCCGCGCCTAGTTCCTCCAGCGTGCGCTGCAGCTTCTCGGGCGACTCCACGATCTTGCCCCGCAGCTCCGCACGCTCCTGGTGCGCCTCGAGCAGGGCGAACTTTTCGCTGGCGAGCTGCAAAATGGGGGGACCAAATTCAGTCAAGGCCGGTTAAAAGAGTATGGTTAAGGTTAAGGGTAGATCTCTCAAGCAGTACCGCTCAGGAACTTCTTGACCGAGTTCACGCAGTGGGCCAATGGTCAGCGCGCTCCTGACGCGCCTCAAGGAGGCAAATTTCACGCTGGCCATTCGCAAAAGTTGGGAAACATTCTTGGGTTGAAGGTAGTTAAGGATCTGGACTTTCGAGCAGTGCAGCCCGGGAAACTCTATCAACTAACAACATTTCAGAACCGTCTCAACCGACTCTACGCATTGGTCCACTGCACAGTATGCTTCTGGTGCGCCTCGAGCAAGGCGAACTTCTCGCTCGCCAGTGGCAGAAGTTGGGGTGTCAGTATTGTTCTGGGCATTCCAGAGCTTGAACTTCTCCAGGAACTCAACTTCTGCCGTCGTCCAAGGCGCTCCGAAAACTCTTGTCTTTCTAGGAGTAGCGAGTGTGCGTTGCAGATTAGGGGGAGAGTATTAATGCGACTACCTGCCAACCTTTCATTTCCCCCCTCTACTCATCACTCTAGCAGATACTTCAACCAGGTCCATCAAAACTGCAACCTAACAAGCCTAACGACTGTCAACGGACCATGCCATCTCAACGCCACTACCAAAAGAAAAAATCACTCTCCGGAACTCAAAAACCAAAGGGTCTTTCCTTACCTGATCCGCCAGCTCGTTGGCCTGCTGTTTGAGCCTGTGGTTTTCCTTGTTCAGCGCCGCCTGCTCTTTGTTCAGAGCAACGATGGTGACTTGCAGCCCGGATGTTTCCCGCTCTAGTTCTTCCACTGCTGGCCGGTCTGCTGCCCGCTCTGCCTCAATCCGTTTCAGCTCGCTGGTCAGCTGCAACGAAATATAAGGGTTTACAATCCACCCTGAGGAGTGACCTGTTGTCGTGCTTGGGCGGCATGGATAGTCAATGTGCAAGGTTGCATCATGCAAGAGGACTACTTAGCAGGGACTGTCTAAGATTCCGAGAGACTGTACTTGTATGAATACAGAGTGCCCCGTAAAGTTCCAAGATTCTGAGAGGGAAGCCTTCCCACCTGCAGGTTCTCTTCCTCCAGTTGTTGTTTCCTTTCAAGCAGCGAATCCGACCTGTCCTGGTGCTCCTGAAACGTTTGGAGCTTGTCTTCCCTGCACAGCGGGGTTTGGCAGGGTTGTATCATGGATAAGCAGAGAGGGTTATGAGAAACCGAGGAACCGATTCTGCTCTCAGAAGAGAAAACGTACTTAGACAGGTGGAGCTGCTCCAAGCGCAAAAGTGCAAGTGCCATAACTTCACATCATTGTGCATCATTGTCCAATGGGGGACAGAACAAACAGCGCATACTCCAGCGGGCTTCCACAACTAATCAAATTCGTCAACAACGACTGGTTTCAGAGTCATGGAGCGGGCTGGCAAGTGACCAATCTTCATGCCTTTCTGAGCGCTGTTATCTGCTGCACAGCAGCAAACACTGTTGCCACTTCCTTTCTCGACGCCCCAAAGGACCTGACTGTATGTCTGATGCTTATCTGCTCTATGCCCAATAGGACCTCAGTGAATGTCAGAGGATTAGATGGTCACTGACATGACCTTTAAACAATGGGTGCTCATAAGTAACCGAATCGGATATCCAACAAAGCAGACTGGATACAAAGTTGCGTGAGGTCTTGGAGCTAACTGGCAGCCAGTTGGTGATGTTTAGAAGTGGTATACATATGCAATCTTTATAGTCTAATCTTACCGGAACATGACATAGTTGAGCAGCGCGCTGAGGTTCCTCCGCACGCCCAGCGTGTCCGGCATGTGCATATCCTTCAAGCAGAAGTTGTTCACCCCAGCAACTTTCATCAGCTTTTGCAGGGCCCGGAAGCTGGCGAGGTCGCCAATGGAGTCATCATGCAGCTCAGGGTATTCGAGCTCAGCCATGGCATGGAAGACAGGCTGCTGGAGCTCTTCCCTGCAAAAGAAGCAAAAGATAGCCGTCTTTCTGTTTACCTAGCTGTTCCGGTCTGACCGTCTTCTATTCTAGCCTGTATCGTTGATTCTCGAGCAAGGGATCCTGATGTCAGTTGTTTTACCAAGTGAGGTAGCTGCAAGCAGCATAGATTCTGGAAGTCAACACCGTAATCTGAACCATGGTGCTTGGAAGTCATCTTCAAATCAGCAGATACTTGATGAGTAGCACAGCCCGGCTCTAAGTCTTGAGTTGTCTGGGCCAACATGTTGCACTCCTGGCATGCTGACGTATTGCCAATCAGTAATGTTGAATTGCCAGTTGGGGATTGGACACTTGTTAGCACAGGCTAGCATTGCTAACACGAATCTGTTGCGACCTTTGCAATCTAAAGCTGGATGGTCAATTGAACCTGTAGAAGATCACAACGGGCATTCTTCAAAGACATTCACAACCAGATTGTGTGAAGCTCTAGATTACCCAAACATATCATGCAAAAGGCTGCAGGTGATGCCTTGCTGGATTGGCAGCTAAATGATTGCCTGATAGCTTCCTAATCTGAAGCTCTCTGCTCTGGCAGAACACAGAGCCGTCACTTCAGAAGCCTGTTCATCTGTTGATCAATGTGGAATTTTCAGCTCGCATTAAACTGCCTAATGCAGGTTCACTATTGTTGACATGAAAATGGGGTGTCAAGATGAGTGCTCGTGATTAGGCCCCCCTCAGATAACCAGAGTCAAAACATAGGAGGCCGGGTGTAAGGGCAGACCAACAGGTTGATCAAAGACAAAAGCTGGTGGATTGTTCATAAATCTGATGATTCTTTACCTGGTCATCTGCATGAGAAGCTGAACAAAGCCCTGGTACAGAGGCTTGACAGCCTCGGGGGTTGGCTTTGCATATTCTGCATCGCTGAATGGGAAGTCCAACTCTCGCAAGCACTTCAGTATCTCCTCCTGAGGCCGAATGGGGAATGGGTAGGGAGGGGCCATACTGCCGTCTCCTGCTCTGCTCTTGTGCGCAATCTGGATCACAATTTGTTAAGATTTCAGAGGATCGGACTGTCAGGAAATGGCCCTGCTGTTGGGAAATCCTTTCAGCACCCACCGCTCGTGCTTTGGTTCCCAGCGGCGGCTTCAACACGGATGAAAAGCATAGGCGCAGAATCGTCGACGAATGGAGAGACCTACACTCGCGCAAGACTTCTTTTACGCAGGAAGAGGAAGCCTTCAGATAAACCAGCGCCTGGAAAGGAAGGCACAACGTTGCGCCTCGCGTTCCTGCTTCAACTTGTGTCCTGCTCCTTCTCCTCCTACTGTCGCAAATCTTGAACCCTCCTGCTGGCCGTTCAGGCAGCAGGCGCCAAAACTGGGCTGTCAGGCACCGTCCGATCCAATCGGACGGTGAAAATTTGGCACAGCTCCAAACTTTGGCGACTGCCCGGCCCCCTCTAAACTAATAGCCTATACCGTCACGTACTTTGAAGTGGCACCCGGTTAGGTATTTTAGAGGCACTTTGGCTGGAAGGTCTCAAGCCCCCCCCCCCCCCGGCCTTGCCTTCACAGAAAAGGTCAAGGCCCCGGGCCAAATGGTCACCACCCGGGTAAACTTTTTGGACAAAAGCACCGTCGTATGCATGGATTCGCCCCTTTTTTACGTTGAAAAGTGCTTTTTGTTGTATACATGGTCCAGAAGCACTGACCCGTGGGCTAAAAGACGTAAAATCAGCATATAAAAGCATGTTCTTCAGCTGAAATCCGGCTGGGGCTTCGCCCCAAGCCAAAGGCCTCAAGCCCCCCCCCCTCCCCACCTTCGATTGGCTGAAGCAACCCAAGCCCCCCCCCCAACAGAATACCTAAGGGGGTGCCACTTCAAAGTGATGGTACCCTAATATAGGCTACCGTATAGGTACCTACACACTGCACAACTTTGGGCGAAGCCCTAGCTCGATGTCAATGTCATGCAACAGATCTGGCGCAGCGGCAAAAGCTCAGTCTGGGCAAAGCACCTTGCTTGCACTGGCAGCAGTAGGGGGAATGCTTTGAAATTTGAAGTCTGATCGAACCTTCTTTGTGCAGCAAAGTGTCATCGAAACGTGAAGGCGCAGTCTGCAAGGGGGGCATCATGATCATTGATGTCATGGTGGTATGAACCAATGCTTGGCCTTCGCTTTGGTGCAAGGGATCTTTCTTGACACGCCATGTTGGAGCAGCAGCTTGGTCCTGTACTGTGGTGCAGAATTGCATACCATCCATAGTAGCAATCCTCTCGGTTTTTGGAAGTATCACAAGGCATCAACCTCTGCTTAATCCTTTGAAAGCAATGGGTTCTCCAGGAAAAGATCTGACCAGTCGCACCGCCTTCTTCGGAGCTTCTCTGCTGCTTCTTCTGTCCCAAGCGTTTTCAATAAGTGCCGAGCCCCTCGGTAGGTCGGCGCTCGGAATCGGTCAAGTTAGGTCAGGTCGCCAGCTTTTCCAAGAGTTATTTCCAGCTCCGGGAAGTGCAAATATCACTACAAACTTGACAAGTGTCAATGCGACGAGCCCTCAGCCTGGATTGGCACCACTCATAGCGCCCAGTCCAGGGGCACCGCTCATGGCGCCCAGTCCAGAGGCAGTGTTCGTTCCTGAGCCGCGATTCTCCTGCGGCGTTGGAGGGCCATGTCTCAACGGGGGGGAGCCCATGTTCATCGAGATCAACGGGAATGTTTCGTGCGTCTGCAACTGCACGCTCGCTATCGGATTTGAGTGAGTGCCGGACACCAGCATATGCATTTCAGAGTTCTAAAGACAGCTTTCCCCGCCCGCTTTTGGTTGAAGTCTGCAGTCAGTGGAGTCTCAGTAAGTGCCACCACTCTTTCAATCTATGTTGAATTTGTGGTCCAGTGTATCAACCCCGACAATTTGAAAGTTCAGGGTTATGCACAGGGTGCGTATCTGAGCCCCGAGTTCCATTCTTTGGCGCCATGAATGGTGATTTGGTTGACAGCAACGAGATGGACAGCTGATCAGGCTGCTGTCAATGAGGACGATTGAGGAAGGGACACTTCAATTGCTGATTGAGCTACGTCATACATGTGGCAAATGTTGACTGGCTTCATCGCTCTCAATCCCCATTCTGTGGCATCTGGCTTGGTCTGTCTGGAAGATGTGAGGTATCAAGGCTATCCCTTTGAAGGAAACAATCTTGGGAGCGGCCCGAGCGATACTTAATATGCTATCATTTGAGGAGCAAGTTTTAAAAGGAAACTCGCAGATCTCTCCATTCCCTCTTCTGCGTCAGTCTTTTCATGTCCCCTTGCCTTCGACACTTCTTTTCACCTTTCTTTCCTTGTTCAAGACGCGAAGTAAAACTTCTCTGTGCAGTGGCGACCACTGTGGGATTCCTCGGCAGATCTGCTCCTCTGACGGGTTCTATTGCGCCAACGGGGGAGTGTGTGGCGCCCCCTCCAATCTTGGGGGGGCTTTCGTATGCCACTGTCCCATTGGCTACTACGGGCTCCAGTGCAAAGAAAAGGGGGTGATTTGTACGGCGTCGTTAATCTGCAAAAACGGAGGGACTTGCAACGCCACTGCGGCGGGGTTGCCCCAGTGCGTCTGCCCTGCCGGGTTCAGCGGAGAGGATTGCGGGCAGGACGCAATGACACCGTCTGGTGAGGCTTGCCTCTTGATATGCCTATCATGATTCTAAACTTCACTTTGTGATATTGGAGGCAGGACTGTTCGGAAGAGCTTCCATGACATCTTCCCCTGTTATAGTCTTGCACGAGTTTGACATGTATTGAGATGCAGCAGTCACACAAATCACAGACAAACAGAGTCAAAGTCAGAGATCAGAGCTGTTGGCCTGCTCGAGGCAGTGAAAGCTAAAGTCACCTGGCTTTCGAGCTCAATTTGTATCCGTTACGCTATAAGGGAAGTCACTGGAATGTCCTGGCATACGCTTGTGGAAGACTAGTGTGGGCCAATCGAGTCTGGATTGTCCCACATCTGCCGTGCCTCGCCTCGTTGGCAAACTGTCACATCAAACGGCCAAGCGAAGGATGTCAAGACGTCTCTGTGCCTATCCTTCCATTGGTTGAGAAGGGTCGCCGAGTCAGTTGCAGCGTAGGATTGACTTATACTGTGAGAAGCATTCTCAATAGCTTTTTCTAAAGATCGCGCATTGCCTGGTCCGAATGAGCTCTGCCTTGCAACGAGGACAATGCGACGTACAGCGTATACATTGGTTCCCGGCTGCTGTGTCTTTCGAAGCATATCTCGGAGGTCGCCTTTGTTTCAGTTGCGATGGCTAAGTTCTACTCTCTGCTGGCAGGTACTGGGCCTGCATCCCTGTTCAAAGGAGAGGGCGACAAGGTGAGCCAGAACCCATTTGAACCGCCAGCCTTGCTCCGTCGTTTATACCATCATTCAAGCGGCCTTGGACTTTTTTTGCCCTCGATCCGTCATTTGCTTGACAGAATAATTATGGCGGTCATCAGTACTTGCGTAAACGCGTAATGTGCTGCTCCGCCGTGTCGAGGGCGGCTACCAAATCTACGTTCGAAACACAAGACTCAATACAAAGAGGCGAAATCCTCAGCTAACATTTGTGCTCAAACGTGAACACCATGAAGGCTGCACCGATGGTTGACTCCAGTCGCGAATGAACCAACGATGGGCAGGTTCTTATCACTAACCAGAATATTGTCACCCTCTAACAGGCGAATCCAGTGGGAGTCGCTTTTGGTGTGATTGGCGGGTTGCTGGCTGTCGGGTTGCTGGCGGTCGGTGGGGTTTACTGCTGGCGCCGTGTGCAGAAACGCCGAAGTCCGTACTCGTTCGACTATCTGTACAACCAGCAGAGTGCACCCATGACAGGCGGGGCGTTTTCAGAGGTGAGTTTTGCGGGAATCTTGAGGAACATTTGAACCGAGTTGGCCAACGGATCCCTCTGGCCCTCAGTATATATGTTCTTTGGGGTTCCATGCGACTCTTGTAACTGGTCCATATGCTGGATGCGCATCATTGAAGATTGACTGACGTCATCCGAACATCGAGGAGCTGTGACGGTGCTGCAGCGGTCCTTTGGCCTGACTTTTTGTTTTAGCAGAATGCTTTGAAATCTTTTAGGACAGTATCATGAGTCGCAGTAAATGCCACCGGTCAGTCCACATGTTTTCAAGTTGGATTCCTTGGGTGCTTTACAACATGGTGCATCCTTTTGGATAAGCCGGCGGTTTTTGATTGCGTATTCTCATCAGCCTTTTCGTTTGTTTGTACAGGTCCAGATGGAAGACTTGAATCCCGAGCAAGAGTATCGGAACGGATCTAACATTCATAATACGTCACTGAACTACTGATGCCTTGCACTGGCTACTGACTGCGGAGCAACTGCTACTGTCGCCTTTTGCAAATCGGACTGCTCGTCTTGTTGCACAGGTTCCCTTTTGCAAAGAGGGATTGTCTTATAGATGCATGCTCTATGCCATAATTGCTAGGATCCTGTATCCAACCCCTAGCTGCAATCAACACGGGGCCATGGGACATTGGGTCATGCGGCCCGAGTATACAAAGATAGATGCCGCGCCGCAAGCAATGAGGATTCCAGCCCAGCCGGCCTTCAATAACTTGAGAATGATATACCTATACCGCTACCGAGTAATATGATCGCCTCTAGGTTTCGGCGGTAACGTTGACCCCGGACATGTCGCATGTTGACCGTCCTTGCACCCGCATGCGGCGATCTCGAACTGCCGCCACTGCAGCATACTCACCATGAGCAATGTACATACAACTTCTTCTGTTCCGTGCATGTCCGGCATGTATACGTGTGCATGAGCGATAATCATGCATCTCATATGCTATAAAGCTCTAGCTGCCAATCATAGAATTAAGCACGACTGTGTACGGTGATTGGCCGCTAGCTCACTATTTGTGTCTAGACGTGGTATACAACCGTCATAAGTTCATAACGTGCATGGAACATTAGTAGTCCGAGCCTCCACAGCTAGGTAATAATATGATTCATGTGGCCGTGGTGGCATGGCAGAATAGCTTCAATGCCGCCTTGCAAGATCGCCATGTCACAGCCTGACTGTGTGCAACTAATGCGCGCTTTGAGCATATAGTACTTGGACACCCATTCCGGTATGAGCTTCGGCACAACATTCAATCTCTTGCCCTTTGGTACCTTATCCAATGTCTACCAAGATTCACCAAGCAATCCTTTCCATATCTTGTTCGATACTAAATTTGAATTTCCGCGTCTGGCTTTAAGACGCCAAAACAACATACAGTGCTTCATACAATCTGATCTTTGTCACCTATCCTACTTGGAAGGCATCGGGCCTTCAGAGGAAAACAATTGCAAGCTGACAAGGCTAACTTGGGCACCAGCTCCCCAATTTTCGCACTGGTGAAATGTGATCCGAGTCAACAACGTTGTACCACATCCTGGAAAAAAGGATTAGAAAGTTGTTGAACTTGATAGCGTTGATTACAGCGTAAGCCAGCAAGGCACCTCAACGAGTTGTAGCTACAAGTCTTGTAGAAATTTTTCTGGGGGGAGACATGCCTGAATCTGGAAGTACAGTCGGCCCGTTTGGATCCTTCTAAAACACGTTTCTAAACAAATCTTCAGATAAAATAAAGGGTTTGAACCAGAGTTCAGCAAGAATTGTGGCAACAAGAATTGACCTTGATGATGGAAGTGGTGCGTTGAAAGCCTTGAAACCTTAGGATTGCTTCTAAATGATACTAATGTACTGTAAGGGTGGATAATAAGCAGCGACCCATGCGCTTGCTACACATGCTCCATTGACTAGGCAACAATCGAGCCGAACAGACTAGCTCATCCCTAGATCTCCACGCTCAATAAAATGCTGGTATCTGGAGCCAATGACTGCATACTCTTGCCTCAGCCTCTCGCTTTGGCAGCAACGCATACACTATGCTTCTCAGATTTTACCAAGGCTCCGAATTATGAAATGTTCCAGCTCTGACAAAAAATGAGGGCTGATCGGACGCAGATGATGCAAAAGGGGCTCCAGAAGTCAGAGCGGGATGACCCCCTCCTTGACACCAAGGGCAAATAAACAGACGACGAGGCCCCCCCAGATCAGATTCGTTGGGTCATAATATTCCTGCTGGTACGCAAAAGCAGTAATGCTGATGCCGACGAGGCCAATAAGCAACCCTTTCAGATTCTTGTCCATTGCGCCTCTCTTTCAGCTGCGTGGGATCCGCCCTTTTGTCAAGTTTGAATTAGCTAGCTGGTGAAATTTGAAAACGAAGCGACTTTGAAAAGAGAACGACGTCCACAATACGGTACCTCGCGGCAAGCCGGGCGGTTATCGGTCCGAAAGTTGCGAAACGCAGCGCTTGAGATTGACACTACCATGTCATGCATATATAGTCCAAAGTATGAAAAATGCAAACCGTGCTGAATATGGTCGCTTCTTGT